GAACTACAGGCACGCGCTAACATGCCCGGCTCATTTTTGATTTATTGTAGAGATGAGGTCTTGCCAAGTTGCCCAGGCGGGTCTCGAACCCACAGGCTCAGGCAATCCACTCACCCCAGCCTCCCAAAGGCGCGGGATTACAGGCTGAGCCACCGAGCCCGGCTATCCTTGTTCCTTTATACCGCTTCATACCATTGCATTACTGGATACTCCCTTTTACTCAGCCAGGCCCCATCGATAAGTCTTGGCTGGGTTGCACCCAATGGTTTTTTGCTGTTGCAAGCAGCACTGCCATGCATAACTCGTTCAAACATCATCTTGCTGGTGGGAAGACAGCTCAGTCCTGGCTTCCACCGCACAGGAGGGAGGAAGAGGAACTGGAAGTGGCCTGTTCCGCCCCTTACCCCCACCCCGCCCGTGGCCTCCTCTGCCTCCCGCAGGCGGTGAACGCTGCCAAGCATGGGGTGGCCGGGGTGCTGGTGTACACCGACCCAGCTGACATCAACGACGGGCTGAGCTCACCCGGCGAGACCTTTCCCAACTCCTGGTACCTGCCCCCCTCGGGGGTGGAACGAGGCTCCTACTATGAGTATTTTGGAGACCCCCTGACTCCCTACCTGCCAGCCAGACCCTCCTCCTTCCGCCTGGACCTTGCCAACGTCTCTGGATTTCCCCCGATTCCTACACAGCCCATTGGCTTCCGGGATGCCAAAGTCCTGCTCTGGTGAGCCTGTGCCCTGGGGAGCCCTGCCCACTCCCCAGTGGCTTCCAAATTTCCACTCCCACCCTCACCCCCACGTTCCCCCTGTTGGGCCTCGCTTTGTCCTCTCCAGTAACCTCAATGGAAACGTGGCCCTGTCTGCCTGGCAGGGAGCGCTTGGCTGTGACTACCGGTTGGGGCCTGGCTTCCGGCCCAATGGCCAATTCCCTGCAGACAGGTGAGGTGGGGGCGCCCCCATCCCCCGGGGGCCCTCTCTCCCCATCCCTTTTTGTCTTCTCTTTCCACTTCAAGCCCTGGTCTTCCCCTTTCTTCTCTCTGCCAGCCGCTACCCCGACCCCCACATGCCTGTCCTGTCTTTGGGGAAGTCAGTAAAACAGCTGGGTGGCCCATACGGTCCGGCGGGGGTTCCCTGCCCCTTCTGCCTCACCCCAGACTCCGCACTCCACCTCTTCCCTCTCTCTTTTTTTTTTTTGAGTTGGGGGTCTCACTCTGTTGTCCAGGTTGGAGTGCAGTAGCACGATCACAGCTCACCACAGCCTAGACCTCCTGGGCTGTCGATCCTTCCACCTCCGTCTCCTGAGTAGCTGGGATGATAGGTGTGCGCCACCACACCCATCATTTTAAAAATTTCTTGTGGAGATGCTATGTTGCCCAGGCTGGTTTCCAATTCCTGGGCTCAAGCCATCCTCTCGCCTCAACTTCCCAAAGTACTGGGATTACAGGTGTGAGCCACCACAACTGGCTTGTCTCCTCCTCTTGAAGATCCCAAGTCAGGGCTTCTGCTGCTTCTGCCATGTGCAGATCTGCAGTGCTCCCGGCTGCAGGTGTCCTCTCCGCCCGGATCCCCTTACCTCCTGCAGTTGTTCCTGTCCTCGTGGTCTGTCCCGCACAGGAGAGGGAGGCCCTACAAGCACCCGATCTCTGTCATCTCTCACAGTCATTGCCCAGAGCCTAGTGGGGTGTGGGTATACACTAAGGAGTCAATAAATGCTTACTGAGTGAGCTAGTGAGTGAACAAATGAAAGGAGAATTTGGTTTTTGCTTGTCTGTTTGTTTGTTTTTGAACTGGAGTCTCACTCTGTCGCCCAGGCTGGAGCACAGTGGCATACTCATGGCCACCCCAGTGACAACCTACTAGACTCTGGCCATCCTTCCACCTCAGCCTTCCAAGTAGCCGGAACTACAGGCAAGTGCCACCATGCCCTGCTTATTTTCTGATGTATTGCAGAGATGAGGTCTTGCCAAGTTGCCTGGCTGGTCTCGAACTTGCGGGTTTTGGGCAATTCCCTCGCCTCGGCCTCCCAAAGTGCTGGGATTGCAGGCGCGCACCACCACACCTGACTGAAAGGAGAATTTGAATGGGAGGAGCGGAGTTCCAGCCCTGCTGCCTCTCTTAGCACTTCCTGGCCAGTGACCTTGCTATGTCCCTTTCCCGCTCTGGGGGGGCCTCAGTTTCTCCTGCACTGGGTGAGGTGAGGGGGCAGGGTCACATCCTTCACTTCCCCAGCCAGGTAAACGTGAGTGTCCACAATCGCCTAGAGCTGAAGAACTCCTCCAACGTCCTGGGTGTCATCCGTGGGGCCGTGGAACCTGGTGAGCCCCTCCCCTCGCTCACGGTGCCCCGGGACCCTGCTCTGCCCCGAGCGCCCCGCCCCTCCGACCTCACCCGGCCCTGCCCCGGCCCAGCCCACCCCGCCCGCCTCCCGCTCCTCGCTGGTCTCTGACTCTGCTCCTCTGGCCAGACCGCTACGTGCTATACGGAAACCACCGGGACAGCTGGGTGCACGGGGCCGTGGACCCCAGCAGTGGCACGGCTGTCCTCCTGGAACTCTCCCGTGTCCTGGGGACCCTGCTGAAGAAGGGTGAGGCGGTCCTCTCCTGCTTAGGGACTCTCTGCCCAGGTCACCTCCAGCCCGCTCCTTCCTATCTCCAGCTCCTCCCCCGACCCTTTCAATGCCCAGCCTGAGGGCCCCCCCGGGGGGGAGGAGGGCAGAGGTGCCTGGGACACCACCCTGGCCTGAAGCAGCCCAGAGAGATGCAGGGAATGGACTCACCCAGCAGCTTCGGAGCCCAGATGCTGCTGTGAACCAGGCAGTGCCCTGGCCCTGCCTTCTGGAAGCTTCTGCCCAGCTGGGGCAGGAGTGACGGACTGTTGTCCATTCGACTGTCTCTACTGTCTCGTGTGCTTACGATGTCCCAGGCCACGGTGGGGCAGGTCTCTCTGTGGAGGTGGCATTTTCCAGGCAGAGGGCAAGGAGGCGGCAGCTGGAAAGGGGGCTGGCAGGGCTGGGTGGGGAGGTGGGGCAGATGGAGTCCGGCCATGGTGACCCGGCAGCCCAGCTGGGGAGTTTGGAGTTCAGCCCAAGGGATGATGGGAAGCTGGTGAATGATTTCCATTGAGAGAGCGACAGGATGGAGCCTACAGTTTGTTTGTTTGCTTGTTTGTTTGATGGAGTTGGAGTCTCACTCTGTCAGCCAGGCTGGAGGGCAGTGGCACGCTCCCGGCCACCGCAGCCTCGCCCTGCTGGGCTCTGGTGATCCTTCTGCCTCGGCCTCCCCAGTAGCTGGAACTACAGGTGCAGGCCACCATGCCCAGCTAAACTTTTTTTTTTTTTTTTTTTGAGTTGGAGTCTCACTCTGTCGCCCAGACTGGAGTGCAGTGGCCGCTCCCAGCCACCACAGCCTCGACCTGCTGGGCTCCGGCGATCCTTCCGCCTCAGCCTTCCAAGTAGCTGGAACTACAGGCGCGCGCTACCATGCCCGGCTCCAGCTAACTTTTTTATTGATTGTAGAGACAAGTTCTCACTATGTTGTCCAGGCTGGTCTCGAACCCACGGACTCAGGCAACCCTCTTGCCTCCGCCTCCCAAAGTGCTGAGATTACAGGTGTGAGCCACCATGCCCGGCCACGAGATTACATTTTTAAGTGATCAAGTGGCATCAAACACATTTACATCGTTGTGCAGTCACTACCACCATCCCACTCCAGAACTGTTTTCTCCTCCCTTAAATATAACATCCTGAAGTCATGTGGCATTGGAGCAGTTGCCAACGTGACTTTAATCACACACAAAAACTGCACCCCTGTCAGGCTACGTCCCCCTCCCTTACATGTTATTTATTTATTTGAGTCTGGGTGTCACTCTGTCACCCAGGCTGGAGGGCAGTGGCACAGTCATGACTCACCACAGCCTCAACCTCCCGGGCTCAGGCAACCTTTCCCCTCAGGCTCCTGAGTGGCTGGGGCTCCAGGTGCCTGCCACTATGCCTGGCGAATTTTTTGGATTTGGTTGTAGAGTTGAGGTCTTGCTACGTTTCCCAGGCTGGCCCTGTGTGTGACTGATGTCACAGACTGTACCTTTAAACACTGTGTGCCCGTTCATGGATTAATTTGGCGTTTCCCGATGGACACTTGGGGGAGAGGGCAGGTAAAGGTGCCAGTCTCCAGGTCTGGAAAGAGACTTCAGAGGTGAGCTGGAAAGTCAGTAGCCAAATGGGATGTGAAACCACAGGAGTGGTTGTGAGCACAGAGAAGGAAGGCGTGGCGGGGCGTGGACAAGCTGCAGCAGAGTCTGGGCTTGTGACCCTCCCTCCTTGGTGGTGCAAGAATTTCCATCTTTTTTTGCAATAATTTCAGGCTTGCAGAGTTGCAAAAATAGTACAAAGAAGCCTCATATACAGATACTTCTTTTTTTTGTTTTTTAAGAGTTGGAGTCTTACTCTGTCACCCAGGCTGGAGGACAGTGACACGCTCACGGCCACTGCAGCCTCGACCTGCTGGGCTCAGGAGATCCTTCCACCTCAGCCTTTCAAGTAGCTGGAACTACAGGCACATGCCACTACGCCCGGCTAATTTTTCTTGATTTATTGTAGAGATGAGATCTCGCTAAGTTGCCCAGGCTGGTCTCGAACCTGTGAGCTCAGGCAGTCCTCTCGCCTCAGCCTCCCAAAGTGCTGGGATGACAGGCGTGAGTCACCGCATCCGGCTTTATACAGCTACTTATGATATGAATGTTTTGTCACATTTGCTTTCTGCTGTTTATGACTATATATATATTTTTCTGAAATCTTTAAAAGTTGTGGAAATTGTTTCCTCTTTATTTCTAAACACATTACTGTATAGTTCCTAAAATGAAAGATATTTTCTTTCTCTCTCTCTCTCTCTCTTTCTTTTTTTTTACATGGTCTCACTCTGTCGCCCAGGCTGAAGTATAGTGGCACTACTACAGCTCACCACAGCCTCTGCCTCCTGGGTTCAGGTGATCCTTCTGTCACAGTCTCCCGAGTAGCTGGGATTACAGGCACTCACCACCACACCTGGCTAATTTTTTCTGGACATGAGTTCTCTCCGTGTTGCCTAGGCTGAGACATTCTCTTTTATAAGCACCATACATTGCTCAGAATCAGGAAATGAACAATTTTGCCAGTTGTCCCAATAATGACCTTTATAGCAAAAGAACTTTCTAGTCTAAGATCATTGGATGTCTCGCTAGTCTCCTTTCATCTGTATTCATTTTTTAGTGGTTCTTTGTCTTTCATGATCCTGACATCACTTTGTCAAATATCTATCCATCAATTTGAGTTTGTCTGATAAGAGTCAGATTATGTATTTTTGGCAGGAAAAAGTGTGGACATTTGTCATTGCAAACATGTAATTGGGTTACACTTATAAAATTTCCACTTAAGGACCAAGAGTGCTGGTCCACACTTACAGTCCCAGCTACACGGGAGGCTGAGGCAGGAGGATCACCTGAGGCCAGGAGTTTAAGGTCAGCCTGGGCAAATTGCAAGACCCAGCCTCTGCCACAAAAAAAGGAGCCGGGCATGATGGCTCACGCCTATAATCCCAGCACTTTGGAGGCTGAGGTGAGAGGACTGCCTGAGCCCAGGGGTTCGAGCCCAGCCTGGGCAACTTGGCAAGACCTCATGTCTACAGTAAATCAAAACATTAGCTGGGCATGGTGGTGCATGCCTGTAGTTCCAGCTAGTTGGAAGGCTGAGGCAGAGGAATCACCTGAGCCCAGCAGATTGAGGCTGCGGTGCCCGGGAGTGTGCTACTGCCCTCCAGCCTGGTTGACAGAGTGAAACTCCAACTCAAAAAAAAAGAAAAGGACTCCAGATGTCTCACACCTGTAATCCCAGCACTTTGGGAGGCTGAGGTGGGAGGATGGCTTGAGCCCAGAAGTTTGACACCAGCCTAGACAACATAGTGAGACTTTGTCTCTACAAAAAATGAAAAAAATTAGCTGCACGTAGTGGTGCGTGCCTGTAGTTTCAGCTACTCGGGAGGCTGAGGCAAAAGGATCACCTATGCCTAGGAGGTGAAGGCTGCAGTGAGCCATGATCATACCACAGCTCTCCAGTCTGGACAACAGAGTGAGATACTGACTCAAAAAAAAACAAAAACAAAAAAAAGGGCCGGGCTTGAGGGCTCAGCCTGTAATCCCAGCACTTTGGGAGACCGAGGCAAGTGGACTGCTTGAACCCACAGGTTCAAGACCCACCCGGGCAACTTGGCGAGACCTCGTCTCTACAATAAATCAAAAATTAACCAGGCGTGGTAGCGCACGCCTGTAGTTCCGGCTACTTGGAAGGCTGAGGTGGAAGGATCGCCAGAGCCCAGCAGGTCGAGGCTGTGGTGGCTGGGAGCGTACCACTGCACGCCAGCCTGGGCAACAAGAGTGAGACTCCAACTCAAAAAAAAAAAAAACAAGACAAAAAGATAGATGATCAGCCGGGCTCAGTGGCTCAGCCTGTAATCCCGCACCTTTGGGAGGCTGAGGTGAGTGGATTGG